CCCACCCACACCATCCCACTGAATGCTCAGGCCCCCCTTTGCCCCTTTCCCCTTTCCTCCCCCAGGGCCCCCCTCCCCCTCCCCACTTACTAGGGGTGGCGATGTCATCCAGCACCTCCACCAGGGCCTGGAAGCCTTTGTGCTTAGATCCAGCCTAGAACAACCGGAGGGCTGGAACTTAGAGGGGCTCCCATGGGGTACGGGAGTGGGGGGGCTCCATTTCATCCTCCTGACAAGTGGTGGATGGGCAGTTTGGAGAGTGACGCCCTCTCCATGTGTCCTGAGAGTATACAAGGCCCCCCGAAACTGGCCTCCGCCTCGCCGGCCTCCCAGGTCTCTCTCTGGGTTCCTGAGAGCCAGCGGCTCACCTGCACCAGGAAGGCCAGCACTGCGATCCCATCTCCCGCGTTCCGGTCCTCATCTTCCCTCCTCAGCAGCACCCCCTTCTCCTTCTCATGGACTATGTGCATCTGGTGGGGAGCAGGCCTAGTGAGGGACTGCCGGGCTCGGGCCACGCAGAGCCCAGCCAGGCACAGACCGCGGGGGCGGGGGGTTCTCACCTCCATGGCAAAGCGCTCCCCATCCAGGCTGTGCTCAGAGCCGCTGTCCAGCTCCCTGGACCAGTGCAGGTGCAGCTGCTTGGCCTGGTACTTGGCTGGCAGCCCTCCTTCAGAGATGCTGATCCCTTCCCCCAGCAGCACCATGACTGTGGCAGAGCAAGGGAGCAGCCCCCTCCTCAGCCTCCACCAGCCCCTCATCCCCACCCCACCTTCCTGGGCTCAGGGTGGAGCTGGAGGCTGGCATGGGGATACAGTCCCAGGCCCCGACTCTTTTGGGCCTCCCTTCTATTGAGCACCACCCTCCCTTCCCCCCGCCCCAAAACCCAAACATGCCACCACCAGAGCCTGGGCCCTCCCCTGCTTCAAATCCTCCGTGGGTGGGGGTGTGCTGGCATCCTCACCTGGGGTGACCTGCTCTGGGCCCCAGCTGACCCTGAGCCCTGGCTCTGGCCCCTCCCAGCTCTGCCCTCCACCCTTCATCCATATGGGAACCCTGTGTGGCTCCCCCGACACCCTACACCTACGGATCCATGCCTCCACACTCTTGCACATGCTGTTCCCTCTTCCTGAAACGCTGCCGCCCACAGGAGAGAGGGGTCTGAGGAAATCCCTGATGGAGTGCTGCTCCTCTCCCACGCCCACAAAGCTCACAAATGGAGAGGGGGCCCCTTCCCTACATGGTCCTCTGGGCATTGAGGGTATCCCCCACCTGGCCACTGGACACCCACCTGAGTGTCCATTGTTTTGGACAGTCCACTTATGCTTCCTGTCATAGCCAGAGAAGGAGAAGGGCTTCAGGTCTTCTCTTAGCTTCGCCTTGCTGGTAACAATGCTGATGGGGGATTGACGGTCCTTTTGACAGTCTCCTGCCCACCTCTCTGGCCCTGAGCAGAAGGAAGCCGCAGAGATCAGGTGTGGCCAGGCACCCAGCCTGTCTCCCTCGGCCTCTCCTTCCTCCTCCACAGACCCACAGGGTGGACACAGACCCAGTGCTGGGTGGTGTCTGTGAGCACTGGGACCAGCGGCCTTATGTGATTATGTGACACGTCTCATACCTCCCCAATCCCTGGTTTTCTCAGCAGTAAAATGGGGATCACAGTGATACCCCCTTCCCAGCGAGGGTGTTGGAGTCTGAAGGAGGTGATGAGAGAGGACTGGGAAGCTATGGTGTGCACCCCGCCCCCCATCTCGCCCCCAGAAAGGCTGCTAGGAAAGCCCTTCTCCAGGCAGGGCATTGGGCACCAGGCACTGGGTACCCCCTGGCCCTTCAGCAGAGCCCTTGTTGGGAGATTGGGTGCAAGGCTGGAGACCATGACAGCACCTGGCGGGGCAGGGGTGAGGGGCAATAGGAACGTCCAGTCACTGGCACACGGCCGAGACGGGAAGAAAGCAGACCGAGTGAATGAAACGCACTAATGAGACCCTCCCCACCCCCCACCCCCAGGTCTACCTTCGAGTGGGGTCATGGGAACAAAAGTGACAGATGTCTTGTGCGTGAGACACATTATAAATGGCCACGTGTTTCTGCCGGGCTGGAATGTAGCTCTCTCATTCATGCCAGGGGTGTGCGTGTGTATAGGAATCCATAGCTGGCTCAGGGGCCTTTGTCTTTCCCACCACTCTTAGGACTCTGTCTCAGCTGGCCAGCCCTCACCTATTCCAAGACTCTTTGTACTCACCCAGGCAGGTGTAGTTGGAGGCCTTGGCTTGAATCCCGTAACACCAGTGTGACTCTGGACCAGAGAGGAGAAGAGGATGAAGCCTGTGCACTGGTTTGTGTCCTTGTACACACCCATGTGTGAGTGTGGCCCAGGGGCTGGGGAATCCACACGTCGTACCTCCCGGGAGTGGAGGAAAAGCGTGGTGATGAGCAAGCAAGGCTGTGATTGACTCAGCAAGAGAAAGACAGGCTTTCGACACCCGTAAACAGTGACAGGCTTGGAAACCCACAGGGGCAGTTCTCCCTGTCCTACACCGTCACGAGGAGTCAGAACTGACTCCATGGCAGTGGGTTTGGTTTTGATTTGAGTTGAGAATGGGGCCTTCACGGAGTCTTGGATGGAGAGTCCAAGGGAAGGAGATTTAAGAATTTGTTTAAAAAAAAAAAAAGAATTTGTTTTTGAGAGAAGCCAAGATCAATTGGTAGAACAGTTTACAAAGACAACGTTCTGCTCCTACTATCGTGAGTGGTGACTAGGGCCCACAGTGCAACTCTTGGCCTCTCCCCATCTGGAGCAAAGAAGAATGATGAACATCAAAAGGCTTATGTAGACACTGTCCCTATAGACTGACTAATGGACCATGAAAACGTCCATCTCTTTGATCCCAAGACCAGAAGAACTAGATGGTGCCCAGCTCCTGCTACCCAAGGCTCTGAAAAGGAGCACCTTAGACTCGAAGGCTTAGAAGGTTCTGCAGAGACTTGGAGAAAAAATGTGGAATAAAACCAAAAGTCATAAAAGAGATTAGGCTTACTGGTCAGCTAAAGACTGGTGGAACACCCAAGACTGTGGCTCTTGGTCACCCTTCAGGTCTGGAACTGAACTGGCCCCTTGTTAGCATAACCAACCTTTTAAGTTCAAACGGGCAGCAACTATCCCAAGACAAAGTGCAGGGGGTTAGGAAGGGAGGAAGGCTGGAAACACAGGATGAAGGGCACCCCGAAGATTGCAGTGGATGAGTTGAAACACAGTGTGCACCAACTGTGAAATGTAAACCTAGCGATCTGCTCCCACTGGGAGTGGCCACCTAATTCACAAGATGAAATTAAAAAGATTTTTTTCATTGTAAATAGCAAAAGTACAAAAAAATGAAATGGTAAGAACAGAGAAGGAAACTGTTACGTATTAAATTATTCCCCCACCCCCACCACAATAAACATGTGCTGTAAACCCTCACTTCTCTGGGCATGGTTATGATTCCATTTGGGAAGGAATATTTTGAGTCAATTTTCTTTTTTTGGCTATAAAACAAGCAATCCAGAGCAAATATGAGCAGAGCAGAAATGGGGGAGTGGGGGAAGCAGAAATCCCATCTCACATGAAGATCACCAAGGAGCCACGGAAGAGAGGTTGGATCGATGAGGAACGCCCTTCATTGTCCCACAGAAGGGTTATAAGGAAGGGGTGATTCAACCAAGATGCTGTATAGCACCGATGAATCACACATCACTCCTCTAGCTCCTGAATGCTTCCTCCCCCCACTACCAAGACCCAGTTCTACCTTACAAATCTGGCTAGACAGGAGCACACACATTGGTACAGATAAGAGCTCTGGACACATGGAATTCAGGACAGATAACCCCTCAGGAACAGTAGTGGGAGTGGCAATACCATGAGGAGAAAGGGCCGGTCAGGGAGGCGGAAGGGTGAGAAAGGGTGAGAAAAGGCTGGATGGATATATAGCCTCCCCTTGGAAGGGACGAATAACAGAAATGTGGGTGGAGGGAGACAACAGACAGCGTAAGATATGAAATAATAATAATATAATTGATCAAGGATTCATGAGGATGGGAGGGTGGGGAAGGGAGGGGAAAAAAGAGGAGCTGATACCAAGGGCTGAAGTAGAAAAAAAATGTTAAAAAAAAGTTTTGGAAATGTTGATGTCAACAAATGTACAAATGTGCTTGACACAATGAATGTATGTATGAATTGTGGTAAGAGCTGTATGAGCCCCAATAAAATGATTTTTTAAAAAGAAACTTCCTTCAGAAAGAGAGGGAGAAAAGATGAGAGAGAGAGAGAGAGAGAGATGTCCCCTAGACTAAAGCTGATCCCCTCTGTTTGGAACTGGATTTCTAGCCTTCTAACTGTGACAAACACACGAAGTTTCGATTTGCTAAAGCCACCCGCTTATGGTACTTCTGCTCCTGTCATTCTAGCTCAGTGATTCTCCACCTTCCTCACGCCGCGACCCTTTCACACAGTTCCTCATGTGGTGGGGACTCCCAACCAAAAGATTATGTTCATTGCTACTTCATCACTGTCATTTTGCTACTGTGATGAACCGTCCTATAAATATCTGATATGCAGGATATATTTTCACTGTTACAAATTGACCATCGTGATTAATCACAAAACAATATGCAATTATATATTGTGAAATATTTATTTCTAATTACAAATAAATGAAGTTCATGCTGGGTACTCATATGTGGGCTTATCTGCATGTGGGAGGACCTGCCTGGAGACAGATAGAGGAGCGGTGTCTCGGTTCCTAAAACCATCATCGGAAATATGTATTTTCTGTTGGTCTTAGGCGACTCCCCAGGTTGAGAACCATTGTACTAGATCCTGGAGGATAAAGGTTGCTGGGTCCTCTGGCCCAGGACATACTCCCTCGGGCAAAGCAGGGAAGAGCAGTGGCTAGCCTGAAGGAGGACAGGCGCCCTGAGACTGGTCAGTTCGAACATAGCAGTCTCCCCCTCTTCACCCCACCCAGGAGGGGAGGCTCTGCCAAAAGGGGAGGGCAGGATCAGGGGCCAGCCTCCCTTCCTGAGACAATAAAACCTACAGCTTCAGCCTGGCTGTCTTCCCAGAGTGGAACTGAGATGGAGATTAGGTGGCTCCACCCCGGAACACCCTCTCACCTTGTGTTACAGAGACCCATTCTTAGTTAACCTCTCAAGGAAGGCAGCCAGGCCTTTACCCCTGCCCCTCTATCTGTCCCCATCACCCTGCAGACCTGAGCTTTGGGACTACACATACTTGGGTTCAAATCCTGTAGAAGCTGGAATCTCTGAAAAAGACTCACCATCAACTGGCTGGATAAAACATTTGACCCGGGGGCTAGGATTTTTGGTTGGGTCATTTAGGAGCTATGGGTTTGCAAGCTGGTCATTTATTGTCTCTGAGCCTCAGTGTTATCATCTGTAAAATGGACCTGGTAATGCCCACCTCATAGGGCTGTGGGTAGGCTATCTATGGAGCATTCCCAGAGGAAGGTAGCATGGCAGTGTGGTGCAGTGGATTCGTTCCCATGGCTCTGCTAGTCGTAGTCTTCTGGCTCCCACATCATGACTGGGTGGGATCATGCAAGGGGTTTGGGGAGCTTACTAGTGATGCAAAGAATATGCATGGCACTCTTGTGGGGGTTGGGATCATGCATATAAGGTGTATGAACTCTAATACAGGGATTGGTCTGTTTTGCTGATCCTCTAGGCTTAAAAGAGCGTATCCCAGGGAACCAATCACAAGGAACTATATGTGACCTCCTCCCTGGGGGATGGACAACAGAAAAGTGGGTGAAGGGAGACGTTGGACAGGGCAAGATATGA